AGGAAGGCCCGTGGCGCAGCCGAAATCATGGAGGGTTAGTCTTTAAGAAAACCCCCAAAAATCCTGCCAAGGTGGAGCAGGGCACATGCTCGACTTCTTGATAAGGAAGTTTTCCAAAAGATCCACATCACTGGGAAGAGAAGAAAAAAGGCAGCAAACAAACAAAAAACATCTGCATGTGGATGCTTGCAGAGCTTTCCTCCCCGTGTAAAAACCAAACCTCACCAACCCCACCTTCCGCACGTACAGAGGGTGGAGGCACACAGAAAAATTCGGTACCCGTGTTCTAGCTCACTTGCATTTTGCCCAAAACCTTTGCCCCGATGGCAGATTCCTCCCTCTAACGCACCTTCAGCCTTTGCCGGACAAAAAGCAAGGTGGCAGCAGGGTTTTTTCTCTTTAAAGGACTGATTATAGCTCTGCCAAGGAGGCCAGGCTTACACGTAACCTCTTGGCTCCTTGCCTGTCCCATTAGATTTTAAGAGTAGCTGTTCACTAGGACAGGAATTACTCCAGACCATTAAAAAAAGCAAAGTGAAATGTTACAGAACCCAAGGGAAAGAAAAAAAAAAACAACCCACAAACCCACAAAAAAACCAAACCAGTGAAAGAATCTAGACTTCTTCTGGACCCATCATATGTGCAACACACCTGCTTTTTTAATTTTTTTTTTTATTCAGGAAGTGAAATTAAAACTTGTAAACTATAAATACAAATGCCAAAGTATTACATGAGATATCCAGAGGCTTTATATTTTTTTAATTTCTCACAAATAATTTCTATGGAATTCAACATACAACAGGGAAACCAAACAAGTTTAGGTTTTGCATACAATGAAAAAAAAGTTACAGAGTTAGATACCGTCAATTTGCCAATTTATAAGAATTTCTATCTCAAATGAAAGCTCAGAAAACAAGTATAATTCATTAATGGTACAGCAACTGTCATTTCTAACAGTGTTATCTGCATTAAGCAAGCTGTCTAGAACCAGGTGTACTTTACCACCGTTTACTCAGTGACATCACAAAGGTTTTAAATATTTTATTTATATACTGTCACCAATATATATATGTACTGCAAAGAGGGCCAAACACTTGCAAAAATATCAAGTTTTACACAACATTTGCATGAGTATTTTTGTATTTTTTCCCAAACAGCAAAGCAGAGTCAGTGTTTTCACACAGTTTCTTTAATTTGTCAAAAATCCCACAGAACTCCATCAATATCAAAGAAGCAGAAGAGCAAGCTTAATAGCAACTTTCATTTATGCATTGTCTTGGGGGGGGGGGAAGGGTGTATCCATCTTAGATACTACCTTATGTATATCTGAAGAAAAATGACCACCAAGGATAGGTTCACTAAATTTATTTAAAAATCATAAAATGTTTCTTACAAAAGAGCATTACATTCTGCACACTGCCCTCAAAGGATGCCAAGGACATGTGGACAACCAGTATTCTCCGCCCTTCAAAAAAAATAAAATGTACATAAAGCAGGGTGTTCACAACAATTACAGAAAAACATTACAATTTACCACCAACAATGGACAAAAATAAAATCCACTCTCTCTGCTGCTGCTTCAAAATTTCAATGTTAGTCTCGTGCGCCCCTTCCCTCCCCCCACGTTATTTGTAAGGAACTAAAACATTACATCTGGTGGACAGCAAAGATTCCACTACACCTCAAATGCAGAACACCTATGAAGCAGAGGAATGTTGGCTTTTTAAACAGAAGCAGATAAAAAAAAAAAAAAAGGGTGCAGGACTCCTTCAGTTCTTCACTAGTCTTAGAAAAACTTTCCAGAATACTGCTTCACACTATAAAAAAGAAAAAATAATCTTGCATTAGAATCCTTCAACATCTGCATACTGCTTCACACTATAAAAGAAAAAGAAAAAAGCATGTATTAGAATGATGGACCATACATCTTGCATCAACATTCACAATGACATTCTTACAGCAGATTAAGTTACAAATTCCTAACACATTTAAAAGTAAATTTAAAAGATCAATGACTAATAATTATAGGTGTATTAATATATTTTAGGCATATTTAAGTATTAGTAATCTGAAGCCAAACATTCAAGTTAAAACATCAAAATCTGCTATGACAGCCAACATGTTAATAAACCAAAACTGAGCAAATTAAATCTGAAGCTGTTAATATTTGGCAGAAAAGACAAAGTAATGTCAGCAAGGTGTGAAATGCTGCATAACAGCACCAAATTGATTTCAACTTGTCCTGTAGAGGCATGATCTGTGCCATATGGCAGACTGTGATTTGTTGTCAATTTAGTTATCTAAAAACAACAAAATCACTAGTCTTCCACACAGAACTAGACCAACATCCACTGAAATCTTCTATATTTTCTACAGGCTCTATGTAATTTATTACAAGTAGTTTTTTGCAGCAGCTTTCACCAGAGAAATGAGAGGACTGCTTGGTTAAGGCGTCTTCCAGCAAGATTAGTTTTGAGGGCGTCTTCATTTTAATTAGAATAGAGAGCAGAAGAGAATCAAGGCAGAACTACCACTGGAGAAGTTAGGTTTAAATAGTTACTTAAAACCTGCCTTCTAAAAACTGTATCACAGAGAAGAGCAGCTTTAGAATGTGCAAGTCAGTCAGTTTAAAATTGACAGCAGGGACAACATTAAACTTTAACTTGCCTGTTCTGCAGTAAATACTGTGCATTTTGTATCTGGTCCTGTGTTCCCGTAATAGTTATTATCCGATCTTCTGAGCCTTCTAATGGTTCATCAATTTTGATCGAAGCTCCTGACTCATGACGTATTTGTTTGATTCTCTGGCCTCCCTTTCCAATAATAGATCCTGCCAACTAGGGGAGAAAGCAAACATTCACTTCCTGGTACAACTTTCTCTCTAAAACCAGTTATGAAAATCACAGTAGTGTTTGAGTAGCTTCCATAAGTTTAGTTTTAAGAGTTGCAATGGAAGCTTACTTCTTTACAGCCTCAAAACATCCCCTGAAACATCCCACCCTGCAACAGGTGGGATAAAACTGGGAGAACCAGTTGCTCATTTGCAAAAAAACAAGTTACACAGACCATCTCCATTACTAAATATTAACCATTAATAAAATCGTTTAATTTGTCTCTGAAGTGAAGACACAAAGCCAACACCCAGATAGACTTCTGGAGATTTAGAAAACACTTCTTTTAAAAACATTGGAAATACTTATCAAGCACCGTCAGTACTTGTGATTTACTTACACAGTATGACAAAATGCTGTGACTTTTTTTATTTTTTTAGGAGAAAACACAAGTTGAAAGCAAGTCAACTTTACTTACATCTTTGGGAATCGTTACTTGTGTTGTGATGATGGGTCCACCAAGATCTCCATATGAACCGCGCCCCCCTGCATAAGAATAGTCTGATTTAAACGTATGCATCAAGCCCTTTAATAACTACATAATGAAGTACATCTGAAGGTTCTATATAAAGACTTACCATATCCAGAGCCACCCTCAAACTGTAAGAGGAAAAAAAAAACCCTTTAATAGTGAATAACCATGCTTCATTCATGTATTTTCATCTTAAGTATCACATTGTTAACTTTGAGCCTATTTTATGGAAAAATCTCAACCCCAACCTTACTAGAAATACAACAGTGTTGTGCCATCAAAGGTATACTAAGGCAAAGAGGACAGACAAGAAACAAAAGGGGCGAGTGGAGAAAATCTCATGAACCTCTTATCCTGCCCTGTCAAAACTTCTAGGAGTAAGGCATAAAATGACATAAAGGATCCAGCTGTACCACTTTACCAAGCAGTCTCACTAATTCAGCTGCTGTAGACAGCTCTTAATGCTGACCTACTCCTGACCCTCGGACTAAACTAACATTCATATGTAAAGATCAGAGTACAGCCTTATTAATGCTACCAGTACAGCTCATGAGAGACTCAAGTCTCCAGTTTTGGGGCAAAAAGTTTACCCAGTGACTCTCAATCCTCCTTATCCACGTCTTCTAGGAAAAAAACAAAGCTCTTAAGAACAGCTCTGTAACTTGTCTCTCGATTCAGACTATGCTACAATTCTTTCTATCTTAGAACAGATAATCATGACATGAGTTACTTCTGTTCTGCTAAAACCACCATATACCAAATGCAGATCACTGCAACGAGCACTCCTGGCCTCTCTATTTTTAGGATTTGTAGACCAGTATTTGACATTAAGTGCTCCATTTCATCTAATGCCTTCTACGTGCACAAGACCCCATTTTTATACCTACCTATATAAGCATAGAATAAATAGGCACAGTTCTCCAGAATTCAATTTCTGGGAGACTGCTGGGCTGGCCTCTATGAGAAGAGGCCAGGGGCTGCCCCTGGGCCAGACAAAGCCAGTCAGTTCTAGCCAACACCAAAATGGACCCACTGCTGCCTAAAGCTGACACCATTGGCAAAGCTGGTGGCACCTCTGTGGTAACACTTGAGAAAGGGTGTAAAAAAAAAAGTGTGCACCAGTTGTGAGAGATGACTGAGGTGGGAAAAAAGTGAGAGAAACAACCCTGCAGACACCACAGTGAAGAAGGAGGGAGAAGAGGCACTTCAGATACTGGACCAGAGATTCTCCTGCAGCCCATGAAGAGAACCACGCTGGAGCAGATAGCCACACTGCAGCCCGTGGAAGATCCTATGCTGGGAGCAGGTGGATGTGCCCTGAAAGAAGCTGCAGCCTGTGGAGAAGCCCATGCAGGTGCCTGGCAGGACCTGTGGCCTGTGGGAGACACACACTGGAGCAGTCTGTTCCTGAAGCACTGCACTGCATGAAGAGGACCTAGGCTGGAGCAGTTCTTGAAGAACTGCAGTCCATTGGAAACATCCACATTGAGCAGTTTGTGAAAGACTGTATCCCATGGGAGGGACCCCACACTGGAGCAGGGGAACAGTGTCAGGAAGAAGAAACAGAGACAAAGTGTGATGAACTGACTACAACCCACCATTCCCCATCTCCCCTGCACCACTCATGGCAGAGGACGTAGAAGAGTAGGGAATGAAGGAGTGAAACTGAGCCTGGGAAGAAGTGAAGGTGGGGGGGAAGGTGGTTTCAGTTCTCCTCTTTGTTTCTCACCATGCTACTCCATTTTTAAGTGGCAATAAATTAATCTTCCCCAAGTTGACCCTATTTTGCCCATGATGGTAATTAGTAAGCAATCTCCTTGTCTTTATCTTGAGCCACAAGCTTTTTCCTTCTTACTTTCTCCCCTCATCCTGCTGAGGCAGCGGGTGAGAAGGTGGCTGGGTGCGCACCTGACAACCAACCAAGTTCAACCAACCACAACTACTTGTTCACAGCAGTTGTAATGCAACAACTTTTCCCAAAATACTGTTTACCTGCTACCTTTTTAAAAGATTAAAATGGAAGCTACTCAGACCAAGGAGTTTAGCTTGTCCTCTGTCTCTAAGCAACCTATATTGTGTAATCACGTTACTTAGCAATAGATTGTAATACAATATAATAGAGCTTGTAGTGGAGTCCAAAATACAAGAGAATGAAGGACTCTGGTTAAGACTTAATGCAGAGGCTGATCAGAGCAGCATACTGCATACACACAGACATATTCCAGTTGGTATTTGCCACAGGATCCCTTTTTGGGCTAATCCGAAAAGGACCTGTGGGTGCTGGCTGACAGCCGGCTGAACATGAGCCAGCAGTGTGCCCAAGCAGCCAAGGCGGCCAACAGTATCCTGGCTTGGATCAGGAATAGTGTGGCCAGCAGGACTAGGGAGGTGATTGTCCCCCTGTACTCGGCACTGGTGAGGCCGCACCTGGAATACTGTGTCCAGTTTTGGGACCCTCACTACAAGAAAGAAATTGAGTTGCTGGAGCGTGTCCAGAGAAGGGCAACAAAGCTGGTGAAGGGTCTGGAGCACAGGCCTTATGAGGAGCGGCTGAGGGAACTGGGGTTGTTTAGTCTGGAGAAGAGGAGGCTGAGGGGAGACCTTATTGGTCTCCACAACTACCTGAAAGGAGGTTGTAGTGAGGTGGGTGTTGGCCTCTTCTCCCAAGTAGCTAGTGATAGGACGAGAGGAAATGGGCTCAAGCTGCACCAGGAGAGGTTTAGATTGGATATTAGGAAAAATTTCTTCATGGAAAGGATAGTCAAGCATTGGAACAGGCTGCCCAGAGAGGTGGTGGAGTCACCATCCCTGGAAGTGTTCAAAAAACGGGTAGATGTGGCACTTTGGGACATGGTTTAGTCTAGTCTACCCTTGATTGGTTTAGAGTGGACTTGGTTGTGTAGGTTAATGGTTGGACTGGATGATCTTAAAGGTCTTTTCCAACCTAAACAATTCTATGATTCTATGAATTCTCTCCCCTATCTCAATGAGGGGGAGCGAGCGAGCAGCTGTGTGGTGCTTAGTTGCCTATCAGGGTTAAATCACAATGTAAGGTAAAGAGCTAAAAATTTTTGAAGGACAAATAAACTTACCTTGTCCAGGTTCATATTGATTTACAGTCAGTTGATCAGGTTTATGTTTGATATATCCCTGCTCCAAGCACTTCTGCAAGAATAGGTTGCAAATTTCAGGAAGGCCTGGTTATAGAAACAAAACAGTAAGCAAAACAGGATAGCTTTTTACTTTTTTATCCTTTCTTTTTACAATAAATATAATAACTGGACAAAATATATAGAAACAGCTTCATAGATACATAAGTCCATCTTTAATAATGGTCACTCTGCATTTGCTGTAACACACACATCAGAATTAGGGGCCTGATCTGCAAGTCTGATATATTTATAACCTCTCACAATTAGAAAGGCCATTCCTCCAAAGCCTCTGCATTCAGAAGTGGTTCAGGTCCACTCCTTACAAATGCAAACTGCACTATCTGCACATAAATAAATCCAAATCAGAGGCACAGTTTCCACCAACTACAGTAAAAAAGTTGCAGTCTAGAAGGAAAATTATTATGCAGAAAGTCAGGAGTTATGCAGAGAGCTCTCTCAAAAATTTACCCCCTAAAAATCAGTTACTGAATTAGATTAAATAACACCAAAAAAAAAAAAAAATCTGTTGAAGTTAAACTGGTTTTGAAACAGGAATGAAAGTTACAGTCCTTCACTGAACCTTTGGTTTGCTATTTTACCCAAGGACTTCACTGTAAAATTCTGTTGAAGGTAACACCCACAAACATGTTAGTAACAGCCCTTTCATGAATCTATTGATTCTTATTTTTTAATTGTTCTCCCCCAGTGAAGTGTTTATGCTTTTCTCACACATAAAATATTCTAGCTGTGAGACTAGAAAACAGCTCAAATACCAATGCTTTTATGATTATATAGCTTCACCGTTAAAACCTCAATGTAACCACAATCCTCCTGTTGGAAGCTACATCCCCGCCAGTACACATGCATCACCTTAAACCTTCAAGTTTTATAGGAATTTAACTCCCCAATTTTACTATTTTTAAATCTAAGACTATAAGATGACTCACTCTGCTCTGACTCACAGCTCTCAACTCCAAATAAGAGTTATTCAAACCTTTTCAAAATTGCTTTCACTCCAAAGGAAATTTTATTTTGATGTGCATCCAGCAAGCTTCAAGCTAGTCAAGATAAATACACACTGCAAAATACGTCATAATCCCCAAACAAATGAATACATAATTTGTAACACATAATTTTTTTTATGAAACAAAAGCTAAAAAAGAATGACTATTACAATCCCAAAAGCCTTATTTGACTGGGCCTCAAAGGGCAGCAACCCCTGGCTACAAGAGATTGGAAAACAAGCTTCAAGCACTCACAGTAATTTGGAATGGATCCTACTCCTGTTCAGTGTGTGCTTAAGATACAGTGAAGGCTCTCCTTTTGTTAGAATCTCACCTCTCCTTTAATTAGAGTCTCACATCCGTATCTCAGTGAGGCTTAAAGGCTTTATATAATGGTTCAAACATCAATGAGAAAGAAGTATGATTTAATAGGGAAGTTCTCACCTCCAGGTAAAGGTTTGTCTTTATCAACATTGTTATTATCATAGCAAAACTCATATCCAAAATGTTTTACTCTTCTATGCTTTAAAGTCTTCCTGGCTGTAAAAACACATGAGTTTAAAGTAAGACTAGACTACATAAAACAGTATAGGCAATTTTCTATGCTTCCCTATTCCACCTGACCTGTTAAATCTAAACGTTCTTTAATTAACAGTTGAAACAATGTGTGTGACCCTTGTTCTTCATGGCATACACTTCTTCTGCCTTATTACCCTTTGTATTTGCATCAAGCATCCCATTCACTGCTGTCTGAAGTAAACTGATGGTGTTTTTGTACATGCAAGAAGTGGACAGTACCAATTTTCTTGAGCCATGTTTAATGCACCTTTATTCTTGCCCTGATCTCTGAACTTGAACTTGATTAATATCCTATGGATACAGCAGGATCCTTCCCTTTCACCAATTACCAAGTTACATGTTAGCCAAGGTCCATATAACCCTTTGTGTTGTTCCAAGGAACAAAATTTACACA